GGCATGATGTGGATGCTGGTTTTGTCCTTATCCCACGCTGAGGTGTACGAGCGCTGCAGAACAAGAGGCAAAACCATACAGGCTCAGGGAAACAAACTCAATGAGAAGATCAGCTCCATGAACCAAAGCAAGAAGCCTCTACTCTGCACTGACACAGGAACTCCTTTCCCCAAAGCTTTCTAATGTTTCACCCTTTTCCAGACTACACCCCATTACTGCTCCAACCACATAAAAGAGAGTTTTGTCGCAAACAAGGAACACAAATCTCTGAGAAAAGAGGATGCAACATTCCCCTTTCACAACCCAGGCCATGGAAGGACACAGACCAGCATTCTGAGAAAGAAATGCATCTGTTTCCTTCAGAATGCGAACGCAAGCAAATCTCACATGGTCCATGATTTTGGAGTTGTGCTTTGCCAGCTCCATGGGCATCGAGTCAGGCAGGCTYGTGAATTTGATGGTGCCTGGGTGCTGCCGATACTTCTTGTCACTCAGGATCTGCATTGCCCTCTTGTTCTTCTCATCGTCCAATGATCCAATTGGGGACCAACCAATGCCCCTCAGCCACTGCAGGTCAGACTTGTACACATTCTGGAAGGACAGGCAAGAACACAAACAGCTCCGTGTCCTACTCACTCCAAGCAATCCCAGTTCCTGACAAGGGAAGCTCTATCAAATGGACCATGTTCCCCAGCAGGCTCCATCTTTTAAAGTTCTTCATGCCATTCTCAGCTGCACCCAGGGCTTGCCTTCACCAATAGTTTGTTCTCCAAAGAGGAGGTTTGACTCTGTTGCCCTTCCCCTGCCACACAGGCCCTTCCCTCAAAACCAGAACAGAACACAGGACAGGTAACACAGCCAGTAAAGAGCAACTCACATCACTCTGCAGGTCGTACACCGTCCTGGCATGCACAACATCATTCTGGTCGGGCAGGCAGGTCCAGCGGTGCAGAGGGTGCCGGTAATCGGCATCGCTGACCAGCTCCTGGCATTTCTTGGCCAACACCACTCCCAGCATGTCCACAGGACTGCTGAAGTGAGTCTTGGACTTCTCAAAGGCTTTCTTGTACTCTCTGTCACTCTGGATTTTGGCCACGTGCATTGACCACATCATCTTGGGATCATCCTCGATGTTCCTGGCCCCAATATGGTGGCCCTGCTGCTTGCGATAACCTTCCTTGTACTTGTACTGTAGGAAAAATAATTATCCACTCAG